CTGTCCCCCTGTAACACTGACAGGCTCATTGGCATTGTTTGTTCTTTTAGCCATTGTCCCATAGCGAGTGCTGAACATCTGTGGGTGCTTGATAAATGTTTGTTGTGTGAGTAATTAATTTTTTTTCTTCTTTCCTCAGGATAAGAGTATGTGCACATATACCAGAAACCGAAGCACCCTCTTCAGGGTCTGGTTACTCATGATCCCCTCCTCCAGTCCTCCAGTCTAATGGATCTCAGGCACTCACGTGCATGCCTGGTGTGTTTCAGGTTAACCTGGCTGGGGATTCGAACTCTGGTTGTCATGTGGGATCCAACTTCTCTCGAGCAGCATATCCCTGCTGCACCACAGAGCTAGCCTGCCTGGCATAATTGCTTGGACATGGCCTTGAGGAGCTGGAATGTAGAGCTCATGCAGGAGAACAGCAGTGAAAGGTAGGTTCTAGAGTAAAGAAAGCAGCTGACGGGGGCCAGTATGTAGTAGGTGTTGTGGTGGTTAAGGGTGTTGGACTCCCACATGGCTGACGGCAGTTTGAGTCCTGGGCCTGGCGGCTTACTTTCTCTCTCTTTGGTCAAATTTAAATAAATAAATACAGTTAAATAAAATAATTCTTTTTTTTTCCTTTTTTTGGAGAGGTTTTTTGCTACAGGGCACGTACACTTGCCAGAAAGACAGAGAGAGACAGAGAGACAGAAAGCGAGATCCCCCCCCCCGGGGGGGGATGGCCATGCCGCAATCCCTTCTCCTCCATTCTCCTCTAAGAATCTTTGGCACGCACGCACACGCACCTGATGTGAATTTAAGCCGCCGGGTCGAGGACTCGAACCACGGTCGACTACATGGGAGTCCAGCGACATAGCCATTACGCTAACTGCTGGTCCCAATAAAATAATTTTTTAAACAAACAAAAATAGCTGACATTTATGTAACGTTTACTAAATGGCCAAGTAACTACCCAAAGAACCTTATGGCTATTAGCATATCTAAGCCTGTGATAACCTTATTAAAGTTAGTAACTTGTTATCCCCCTCAAGCAGATGACAAAATGGATGCACCAAGAGGTCAAATAAATTGTCTCAAGGTGACACTGCTAGTAAACAGTACAGCTAAGATTTCAGACTGAGGGGCCGGCAGCGATGTGGTGGTTAAGGCATTGGATTGCGGTTTGAGTCCTGGACCTGGCAGCTTGTTTTCTCACTTTCCCTTTCTCTCTCTGTCTCTCTCTAGTTAAATGAAAGAAGAAGAAGAAATAAAATGAAATAATTCATTGAAAAAAAGTTTAGACTAAGCTCACCTAAGGAGGATCAGCATTCCTTGGAAAACAAGCAAGTGGTTTGGATTGCGTAAGATTACTGTGGACATTCTGAGAGCTGTTTGAAAAGTGACACTACCTCAGGACCAGCCATTGCACTGCTGAATTCCCACAAGGCCAAATGCGGTTTGAGTCCAGGACCTGGTACCCTCAAACTCACGCTGGGTGCCTGTGTGTGCATGCCCAAAATCCCAGGAGGAGAATGGATGAGAAGGGACTGTGGCATGGCCATCTCCCCTGGGGAGTGATTTCTCAGTTTCCCTCTCATTGTTTCTGTCTCTGTCTGTCTCTCTCTAAGGTGAGATCACGTACCCTAAGGTTAAGCCCAAAATAAAGAGTAGCATGGCAGGCGTGCATCCTGGGGTGGGAAGGTAGAAGAGGGTGGGTGAGACAGCAGAGCTTCTTCCTGGATTTGGGATCTGATTGGTGCTGCCTGCTCCCTTCCTCATCCCATCACTAACACGTGTCTCAAACACTCCATCCAGTTCTCTTCATTTCAGATAATCCCATTCCTACCATTCTCTTAAAGTACTCTCATACAACTCGAATGTACTTCTCCTTTATGTCATTTACTTATCTGCTTCTGTTGACTCCATTCTTTTGTGAACAAATCTCTTGTCATTCACTCTTTGTGTTTTTCTTGGAGAGGTTTTTGCTACAGGGCGTGTGCGCTCACCAGAAAGACAGAAAGAGACGAGAGACAGAGAGACAAAAAGCGAGAAGTCATCCCCCGGGGGGGATGGCCAAGCTACAATCCCTTCTACTCTCAGGATCTTGGGCATGCACGCACACATGCCCCTTGTGAGTTTAAGCCACCAGGTCCAGGACTCAAACTGCAGTCAACTACATGGGAGTCCAGCGACATAGCCATTATGACAACTGCTGGTCCCGTCATTTACTCTTTCTTCCTTCCTTCTTTTCTTCCTTCCTTCCTTTTTTTTTTTTTTTTCTATTTAGCCAGCGGGTATGTAAGCTTGCCTGAGGGAAGCAGAGCAGAAGAGGAGAAAACACCCTCCCTCATAGAGAATGGTCATACCACAATCCTTTCTCCTCCATTTCTCCCTCCTATCGGAATTTTGGGCACACACACACACACACATACACATGCCTGGCGTGTTTCTCCAGCCACCAGGTTCAGGATTTGAACTGCACAGTCAGCCATGTGGGATGCAGTTGCCTTAATCACCATGCCACTGACTGGCCCTCTCTTTGCTTTTTTACCTTTCAGTATCCAACTAACTATACACTCATTCCCTCCTCCCCCCGCCTCAGGGGATGGCCATGCCGCAATCCCTTCTCCTCCATTCTCCTCTCGGGATCTTGGGCATGCACGCACACGCACCTGGTGTGAGTTTAAGCCACTGGGTCCGGGACTCGAACCATGGTCAACTACATGGGAGTCCAGTGACATAGCCATTATGCCAACTGCTGGTCTCTAAAGTTATCTTTTTTAAAAGATAGAGTTATGTGACTCTCTGATAAAAGACCTACCCAGAACTCTACGGTTTGAAGTTCAGAGTCACTGGAGACTACATTTAAGGCTTTCCTTCTTTTCGTCCTTTCTTTCTTTTAATTGCTAGAGAGTACATAGCTTGCTGCAAGAGACAGAGAGACAGAGACACAGAGGCAGAAAGCACTCCCAATGGGGAATGATCATCGGCAATCTCTTCTCCATTTATTTTTCCCATCAGGATTTTGGAGCTGCATGCGCATGTGCCCCACATGCTTTTCAAGCTGCTTGGGCTGGTATTCAAACCATGCTTGGCCATGTGGGATACGGCTCCCTTAACCATTAACCATGGGGCCAGCCCATGCCTTTCACACTCTAATTCCAGCTTCATCTAGCCTCATTTCCTATATCCATACCCAACAAACTTGGCTTTGACAACCACCCAGAACATCTGGTAGAAGCACACCTAGTCTTTTTACTTTCTGTGCTTTATTTCTGCTCTGTTTACCACATTGCAAATTGTCTTTCACTTTATATTTTGGACCTCAGGTTCAGAGGTTTAAATTATTCATTCTCTAGAGTTTATGGCCTAGGTAGCCCTTTCTAAGCCCTTCATTTTTTTAAAAAAAGAATTGTTTTATTCAACTTTATCTATTTATTTATTTATTTTTATTTGACCAGAGAGGGACATTACACCAACTGCTGGTCCCATTGTGTGTATTTTTTAAAAGATTTATTTATTTATTTATTTATTTCCATTTATTATTGTTTAAATTTGACCAGAGAGAGATGCAGAGAAAGAGAAAGAAAGGGAGAAAGCAAGCTGCCAGGTCCAGGACTTGAACCGTGGTCAACCATATGAGAATCCAACACCTTTAACCACCACGCCACCTGCTGGCCCCTTGTGTATATTTTTTTAAAAGAAGTATTTTATTTATCTTTATTTATTTATTTAAATTTGACCAGAGAGGCACAGAGAGAGTGAGAAAGTGAGAAAGCAAGCCACCAGGTTTGGGACTCAAACCGTGGTTGGCCATGTGGGAGGTCCAGCGCCCCCAACCATGCCACTTGCCAGCCCCCGTGTGTGTGTGTGTGTGTGTGTGTGTGTGTGTGTGTGTGT